GCCACTCAGCCAGCCCTGTAATAAATTATTTTAAATTTAAACATTCACCATATTGTTTGATCACACCTCGTATATTATTCTACCGACCTCTCATTTAGTTAAGATATGACTCAAAGCTCTGAGCTTTGAGGACGGATTAAGGGTCCTAATCCTAGAGAACTTAGTAAAGCCTTCCCTGAAAACCCTCTTGGTCTAAATAACTACTCATTCGTTTGATAAGTAGGTATTTAATATCTACCATGCACAAGGTTCTGTGACCTTTAGCATGGATGAAACAAAGGAATATATGAAATGTATCTTACATTCAGAAATCTATAAATTAACGGGATACAAGACATTACCCAAATACCCGTAACACAATCTGAATTTCTGAAATGATGCGTTATTAAGGAAACAAATATATTAGCTGCATTCATATTTATAATTTGAAAGGTTGATAAATTTTTATATCCAGGTAAAGTAACTCATTTGTACTCAAGCCAACTGATGGGAATATGTGCTTTCTGAAGGGGAGATGAGTGAGAGCAAAAAGGCAGTATCCTCAAGGATGCGCGCCCAGGTCTGGGGATTAGCTTGCATGAGAATAAGAAACGTTTTCACAGTACATGTGACTAATGCTTCATAGTGTGAAAAGTTCTCCAGTACACTACTGCAGCAGACCCTCACAGCAGCCTTGTGAAGTAGGCTAAGCAGACATTACTGGCACTCACACATGTCAAAACTGAAGCTCAAAGAGACTTAGCTGCTTCCTAGGGTTAGAAAACTAGTAAATGGTAATGCCAGGGTATAAACACGTCTTCTAGAGTACTTTTCATGTAGTTTATCTCCAATAATATTAACGTGCTAATATGAAATATATAAACCAATTTTTAAGAATTTTCATTTAGTAACTGATCTAATAATTGTAGACGTTTTTATCATCCTGGAAGTCATTCTCTTCTTTTCCTATAAAAGGTAAATTTTTCATTTTTGTGTATAGGATCATTTCACTTCTCCAGATGAGTACGATGACCCTACTGTGCTCTATGAAGCCATTGTATCCCATGAAAAAAACCTCGTGATAGCCCATGAAGGGGACCCTGCATGGCGAAGTGCAGTCCTTGCCAACTCTCCCTCCCTGCTTGCTTTGCGGCACGTCATGGATGATGGCACCAATGAATATAAAATCATCATGCTCAACAGGCGCTACCTTAGTTTCAGGGTCATTAAAGTAAGTGTTTGAGGCATTTGTTTGCATCTGAAAAAATTGGAACATAGATAATCTTATCCAAACTTTTAAAAAGTAGTTGAAACTCTTTAATAGGAAAAAAAAATGACCATACCACATTAGCATTTATTATTTATGAGCACTTAATTTGACTTATTGTGTCAGTAATTTAGTCTGTCCTCTGAAATTTTCTCCCATGCCATAAAGCCTTAACATTTTTGTTTATTTCTATTTTAACAGTCTTTTGTCTATTTTATATGATATTTGCGCAGAATCTCTTAAAACATCAGCTCCATATTGCTAATATGATGTTTGCAAAATAATAACCAGAGCTTGTACTTAATAGGGATCAGTAAATGATTCACTCTAATACTTCCTTGGATTTTGTTTGTTTGTTTTTTTAAACACCTCAGGACTTTAGCAAACTTAATCTCTGAAATTTTGATAGTTTGTTATGGTCTATTTTTTTCTCTACTTCATTTAGTCAAGCCACAAAGTCACAAACACCCTTTTGGCTCTAAATATTTGTTACCTTTCATTTCTATCAAAAATATTTGTTAGACCAGTTACAAAATTCAGTGCTTCAATAAATTGGAAAACTAAATGGACTACATTTTAACTTGATACTTTTGCAACACAGAGCAGAGGGAAGAACTTTAATTCCTATTCAAATGAATGTGACCAACTTTTGTTTGTTGCCTGCTTTTCTCAGTTGGTTATCATGTCTTTTGTATCCCTCCCATTTCTGCTCTTCTGTTTATATGAATTTCATTCTTGGCCCCTTAACCTAATTCTCGTGTGTTCTGGTTTTCAGGTGAATAAGGAATGTGTCCGAGGTCTTTGGGCAGGGCAACAGCAGGAGCTTGTTTTTCTCCGTAACCGTAACCCAGAGAGAGGTAGCATCCAAAACGCAAAGCAAGCTCTGAGAAATATGATAAATTCATCTTGTGATCAACCTATTGGTTACCCGATCTTTGTCTCACCCCTGACAACTTCTTACTCTGACAGTCATGACCAGCTTAAAAAAATTCTTGGGGGACCTATCAGTTTGGGAAACATCAGAAACTTCATAGTGTCAACGTGGCACAGGTGAGCCATCAGGTTGCATTTTTCAGTGGTGGTGTATCCTGCCTCTCTTAATCCAGGCAGTGTGCATTACCATCACCTGGAAAGTTTGCAGAAAAAATACAGGTGCCGTGGCACAATATAAATCTATTATATCTGAACTTCAGGAAATAGAGTCTGAGCATTTATATCTTCAAACTCTAATGTCCAACTCTGGTTAAGAACCACTGCTTTAGCATTTAGTACGGTCTTGAATAGTTCCCTTTGTTAAATTTTTTTGCTCTCTACTGTAGCAGATTGCCACAATTACTTTTGGGTTGTCAGAAAAGCCATGATGTATGTTTTCTATGTTTTTCGTTGCAAAAATGCGTCATGACTTTTCCGACAACCCAATAGAATGTGTGGGTCAGCAAACGGCAAATTAGAGAAAACCATGAGAAAATTTGTGCAAATGGATTTCTTTCTTCTATTTTATTTTGTTCCAGCAGTAGGGGGAGCCCTCTATACATGTTGAAACTCCTGGTTGTGCAGTGTAGACACTACAGCCATTTTAACAATCCAGTCATCACTCCAATCTCAAATCCATAGTGTCATCAAGAATGCACATGAATTTTTTTCTCTGCCTTTTGTCTAGTAAATTATGATGTATGATGTAGGAACATAGTAATTTGGTGGCTAATGAAGAAAAATCATGGAATATTATTTTCAACTTCTTAAGAGTAGTTCAGATCCTTAAATCAGAGTTTACAAAAAACAGGATCTTGGATTAAAGCAACAGACTCAAATAGGTGTTTTTAAAGTCTTCTAGGAATACCCAACATTAAAGAGTAAAGTTTTACCATTTTAACATTAGTCCCTATTCAAACAGAAGGAAGAACACAAACCAGGGTAGTGTTCAAAGAAATTATTTTTTCGAAAAATGTGTTGTGCTAGTGGAATTGCCTTGTTTGCCCAGGACTGAGGGGTTTCCTGGGATGTAGGATTTTCAGTGCTTAAACTAAGACAGTCATGGGCAAACCAGCACAGTTGGTCACCTTACACATTATTAAAAATTTTTTTAAAAAGGAAAAATCAACTCCCTTTGGGTGTGCTACAGCATAAATTAGGTTTAAAGAGATTAGATCTTCAGGTACTGCATATTTTAGAGGCACTGAACAGACACTGGCGAGAATTCTATTTCCAGCTGTGATCTTACTGGTACAACTGTGTTACGTAGAATTGTTTATTATATTTGGTGTAAGAAAGATGATAGATTATATAAAAGTGAAATCAATTGGGAGTATTGAGGCAGTGAATATAAGAGGAGGATATGAAAACATAACAGACTTTTTTTTGTTCCTAATATTGATTGCACTGTGAAGACTTTCAAAGGTGAACATTAGTGGCATTAAACATTCAGAATAGCTGGAAAAAGAATAAAATAGCTATCTTGAAGTGATCTTGGGATAATGCTTCCTACCCTGGTATTTGTTCCTAGGTTAAGGAAAGGTTGTGGAGCTGGATGTAACAGTGGTGGTAATATTGAAGATTCTGATACTGGAGGTGGGACTTCCTGCACTAGTAACAATGCAACAACTGCCAATGATCCCCACAGCAGTGTGATCCAAGGAAGCACTGGAAATCCAGGCCAGGGGTTGGGTGCAGGACTCCATCCGCCTGTCACATCTTATCCTCCAACACTCGGTAACATGAAACAAAATTACATGTATATTGTTAGCCTCTTAGCTGTGGGGTTCAGTTGGTATGTATGTATAAAGAGGATGATATATTACCTAATTGGAAATATATGAAAGTTTTGTTTGGTTTCCAGGTGGGCATTATCCTACTTGTTTATATTAATCATTTTAATATATAAATGTATTATTCAAACTATTTTTTTTAAAGTACCCTTTTTAAAGGCTAATAATATGTAATTGATATAATTTAATTAATTTCTCTCCTGTTGGATAGTGATTTGGTTTCTTCAGAATGTTGTAATAATTTTTGCACATAAAACTTTGGATCACGTGCTGTTGAATATCACTGATGATTCATATTTTCATATATGAATATGATTCATATTAAATGATAGATTTAATTTCTGGAGACTGTAAAAATGGAGTCACTTTGTCAATGTTAATGAGAATATATAAGGCTCATGATGTATCATGTCAAAAATCTTTTCCAGAATTTTTTTTTACCAATTGGCACTGTCACCATTCATACATAGGAATGCCCATCTATTGGGTTGTCGGAAAAGTCATGACTCATTTTTGCAACGAAAAACATAGAAAAATACATCATGACTTTTCTGACAACCCAATAGTAAACTTTCACCACCTTTGAGTGTTGTCAGTTCCCACCTCTGCTCCCTATTGCTCAGAGAAACGGGAGAAGGGGTAGTCTTTAATTTTATTGTTTTAATTTGCATTGCTCTGATACCTGAGATTGGAAGCTTTTAAATGAGTTTATGAGCTATTCCTCTTTCCGAAGGGCCTATTCAGTTTCTTGCCCATTTTTCTATTTGGTTATCTTTTTCTCATTTGTGTTTGTATATTCTGGATTTGAACTCTTTGTTACTTTTCTGTACTACAAATATCTTTTCCCGTTCTGCCTCTTGGCTTTCCGTTCTCTTCCTGTGAAGAGTGACTTGCTGCTTTTTGTTGAGAAGTTCTTAATTTTAATGTAGAGAGTTTACTGATCTTTTTCCTTTATGATTAGTCCTATTTGTATCCTATATAAGAAAATTTTCCCAATCCCAAAAGATGGTATTTTTTTACTAATTACCTTTTGCAAGAGATCCACAGTCCACCTGGTATGCATCAGGAATCAGAAGTCACCTGTTTCCATATGGCTAGTTAGTTGATCCAGCACTGCCCTTTCCCTGACTTCTTCGCATGGATCAGACAAAGTCTTAAGATATTTACTTCAATTAAAAAAACCCAGTGGCACAGGAATTGTTAAGACTCTAAGTAGGCATATGATCAACATTTTGCAGGTTATTTTTTAACTACTGAATGAAAACCTAAAGTTTTCAGTGTGCTTCCTTAAATGTACCTTTAGTTCTTACATTAATTGGTTCTATTTATTTCCAGTTAAAAAGTACATGTAGCTATTTTTTCAATATAATTAATAGTTTTCTAATCTTCACGTCACTTATGAGTCAGGAAAAGGCAAATCTGAAGAATCATATCAATCCATTTGACAAATGACACAGAAGAACCTGCTGTTCAGTGTCACAGATGATTCATATTAATTAGTAATCCCTTATGTATATGAAAATCACAGTGTGGTATCACTGTCTCTCTGTAGGCAGTGTAGCTTCTCTTTGGAATAGATTGTAATGGTAGTCATACTGTACTTTGCAAAATAGTAGTTACAGAGCTTAACACTTAGTAGATCCTTAATAAATATTTCTCAGTCTCATTTCCATGAGATACTTCTAATGTATTAAAGAGGTATTCTTGTTATTCTGAAATATATCTATGAAAGATATTTTAGAATCAATCCCAACCTTAAATGGTGACATTTGCTGTAAATTATTTAATTTTGTCTTTCTTTTGCCCCAGAATTTGAGTTTTAAAATG